GGTTTGGGGCTTTAGGGTTTAGGTGTAGGGCCTTTTTTTAGGCAGGAAAAGAATAACCTTCTGTTTAGAGGGGCTCTGTCCTGTCGGAAGGTGATCCATGTTCAAAGTGGATTCCAGGCATCAGAGCAGCGGCGTTTGTCCGCGTTGTTTGGGTTGCCTTCGAGCCAACTTTCCTGTAGCGATGGCGGGCAGGCGAACGCCGAACAGCCCACGGACAAGCTCGTCACCTCAAACAAGATCGTCACCTCAACGAGGCTAGCAGAAGAGGCCGGGATATTGGCCCTGAATGCCTAAACCCTAAACCCTACATTAAGGAATGTGGTGCCTCATTGCGCCTTATGATAAGTCTACGGATAATATACCCCAAATCCCTGTTCTGATCCTTCAAGGACCTGATATTACAGGGATCAGGGTTTACGCCATTTTTTTCCGAAAGCTCCTGGCTAGGATCCCAGGAAACCTTGTAGGGAGAGCCCTGAAGGCTGGTGGGGTTTAGGGTCTCGGGCTTAGGGTTTAGGGTGGGGGTTTATAATTCCCTAAACCCCCTACAATCTTCAATCCCTAAGCCCTAAAACCCTGAACCCTAGACCCAGCTAAGGATTTTAGGGTTTATCGGGGTTGAAGGTTCAGAGCCCCTTAAAGAGTCTCTCCTCACGGACTTCGGCGTTTCGGCTTCGGGCTGAAGCCGTACACTTCAAAAGCCACGCGGAAGCCGGACACTTGAAACTTAACTTACCTATAGTCTCCATTGTAGTTCCTTTTTGGGTGATATCTTACAAAATCCTTCGTATTTCATTGGTTAAGCCAAAAAAGGAAGTACAATGGAGACTGTAGGTAACTCTTGAGCCTCCAGCTTCAAGCTGTAGCAGGGTTGTCATGTTTATTTAGAGGTTCAGTTTTGATGTAGTTTGTTGTCTGTGACAAGGGGGTGCACCGGTCGATTTCAGATGGTGGGTTCAGTTCGAAACTCATGCGTCCATGGCGAATTCTGGGAGTCTGTCTATGACTCCAAGGAAGAGAATTCTCGACACAGAGGATAGCAGCAAGGGGGCACCTGGTGGTTCCGTCCTGACAGCCCTTTACATGGTTTCGGTGTTTGGGATTTGGAGTCCTCCGCAAGCTTCTCAGGGGAGTGTTCGAATTCGAAATCCCCAATGTACTTGTCGTATAGGACAGAGGCGTTAAACGCAGTTCAACACCCTATGGTTCTGGCGCTCCGCCAAGAGGTTTCTTATTTTTTCTTCATAAGCCGCAAATCAGACAAATGAAACTAACCCTAAACTACAAGCCTCAAGGACTCGGTGAAGGCCGCTCTTGTCCATGCCGAGAAACTTCTCGTAGCATCCAACAAGGCGCCCAGCATGAAGACGATTGTTGGATTTGGGGGGATGAGCGTTTAGGGTGATTGTAAACAGGAACCTAAAGAGCTAGACCGGGTTTTTGAGGCCGGGAGTATATAGAACAGATGTCCTGGTGAACGAGCAGTAAGGAACTTATTCATGAATTTCTCTTCGTCCGAGTCATAGGTCACAGGTACTTGAAAACAACTCCCTACACAGACACCTCAGCGCCAAATGAGACACAGCCCACCGGACCCCGTTCCCCAACCGGAAGCCCTGGAGCTCTAGACTCTAGACCCCTGAACCGTAACTTACGATGCTCCACCCCCCTCTAACGGGCCCTCTGTTGAAAAGGCGCGCTTTTCAGGCAACCAACAAGCTATCAACAATTCCGAATCTGAGCCAGAAGCCGTATATATAACCTTGCAGATCGAACTACTTGAATCCTGAATATGTCTTTATAACAAGTTCTTAGGGTCCAGCTTGCCGTAAATCGCTGACGAGTTGACGAGGAACTGCTGGAAAGGTCCCTGCAGGCGATGAAAGGTGCCTTTGCAAATTAATTAACAATATTTTACCTCAAGGTCCCGTATCATAAGTAGACTTCGCTGTACTATCCTATCCTACACAATACTAGACTATACTATAAGTAAGAACCCCCAAAGCCTCTAAATTAGGGGCTTCTGCTTTCAGGTCTTCTTGCTCTCAGGGTTTTTCAGGAAATCCTAAAGCCCTCAACCGCTAGCACAAACCCTAAACCACGAACCCTACACCGTATGAAGATGCCGAGTTGTACGACGAGGCCTCCACGCGCACTCCGCCGGGTCCGCCGGGCCGGTCGAAGAACAAAGCTCTCGATCAGAGGAGTACTACAGTAGAGGGGTCTGAATGGAATAGGGCTCGCCGGGGTATAATATACGATGGGTGGACGATAATGCACCACGAAGCCGCACGCCTGAACGCAGCTGAAGCTTCGAGACCGCGAGAAAAACAAACATGCGTCAAGAAACGCCGGGGGATCAGACATGACTTGCTATTCAGCCCGTATCCCTCATGCTTCTATAGGCTCTAAACTCTAAATTAAAGCTCCCTACGCAAATCTAATCGGAGAACCCCAAATCTCAACCTACACCCAGAGCTGTCCCGGAGATCTCAAGCAACTGCGAGACGTCGCTCCAAACCCCAGAGTCGTTGAATGGTCTTTGTAATTCGGGGACAGGGAGTTCCGGTGTGGGGTTCAGGGTTCTGGGCGTAGAGGCTTCAGTAGTGGAGGGCTTGACCGCCAAGGCATATTCCATGACGTTGGCAAGGAGACAGGCTCTCCCTCCAGCGCAAAGAAGCCGAGGCCGGGGGCTGGATTCGTCCCATGTGGCAGTGAGGGTGGAATACTTAGGGGCTGAGTAGGTCACCTTTAGTTTTGTCGGGCTTATACAATCCTACTGTAATTCAACATATTAGCCGTGTTTGGGCTAGGGCACTCAGCCCCTAAGATTATAGGGGCCCGGAGTACTTGATAGTGGTATCCCGTAGGGGTTACGTGTTGTACCTACATATTATGTACCCACAACGCTGTTACATCACTTAAGGCCCCTGTGTTACAGTTGTATTGCAACCAATTTTTCACAACTTCAACTCTCTCCCACTATAGCCCCAGTATAGTCATGTAGTACACAGCATACCCTAAATCGTACTCTAGCAAGTTGACGCCTCTATGCCTCCCGAAAGCCAAGCCTCTCAGAATTTTGAAGACCGCTTTGGTCGCAGCTTTAAGCATTCCGGCTGTCGCTACACCCGAATAACAGGAACAAGTTGGGACCAGGTCTTGGGATGTGTCATGTTAATATAAGTGTACCGCAGCGACGAAGGAGCATGACTATAACTCATTAGTCGTTGGGCTCTCGGTTCTGTGTGTTTTCAGGGGTTCGGGCTTCCAGAGTTTGGCTGTTTGTGTTGGGAGCCCTTAGCTTTGCATCATATAGGGGCTACGGTAGTTTGGGGGTTTCTCTTATAGTTATATATAGTCAAATATACCCCCAAACCCTATTCTAATTATCAAGGCCCCTACATTACACAAGGTCTAACTTCTCATTAAAGGCATCGTTTTGAGCACGAGGAGCATGTCAGAAGAGCACAGTGACGCACCCACCAAGCAGAAGCCTATGGCCTACAGTGCCTCGGACGTTAATGGGTCCAGCGCGGCGTCGTTTCCAGACAAGCGACTCAGGCGAAGAGAGTGGAGATGTGAACAACCATACCTAGAGTGATGTTATATTAAAATGTATTATACCGTGTTGAGCTATGTTATATACATCACATTGTGGTATAATATTCTGTTATCGTTTTGGATGCTGGATGTCTGATAGTCTTCGGCTCGAAAGCCTGCGGATGTTCTGTACTGTACTGACTGCTTGGGACATGCCGGGTGGTGTGAAAAAACTCCGTCTCTTTCACAGAGTAGCTTGTATAGAGCCCTCTCCGACTGACGTGCAGAGATTTTGCAATACCATTGGTGTGCTGACCTACTGGAACCTGTTCAAAGCAAGCTATAGGACTTGGCAGCCGCCGGTCGTTTGGGCTGCCATGATTGCCTCCTTCGTTCTCTCACTCTGTCCTCTCAACGTAGTCCTCTGCCGACCTTACAACCCTCGAATGGACGGTCCGAATTGAGAGTCCAAGCCCCTGCACCGGAGTCTATGCTGTTGAGGTTGCGTGGTCGGAAACTTCGTAATGATCTCCTTTATTGTCCTCATGTGACTGTAGTGTAACATGCCGCAAAACCCTGGTCTACTTATTACGGCCGCCTGTTAGGGTCGAGGGTTGGGGGAGCTCAAGCCACAATATGTTAGGGTTAGTTTGATGTTCGTAACGCCGGGTTTAGTGTGTAGGTGTGTAGGCTCTTTGGCCGGACTAGTTGCTTTCGAAAGGGCTGCGTCCGAATCCCGACTTCGAGCTTCACGAGTATCTGTAAGAGATGTTATACTTAAGAGAAAGACAGTTGTAGCTGGTCAAGGGGCTGATGGACGATATCTTGCAGTTATGAGTTATGAATGACAAACTCAGATGCAAGTTTCGCCCAGCAGCAGTATCGCATGAGATGGAATCGGCTGCTCTACTTATTTGCTGCTGCTTGTGCATACTCAATAAACTCCTATGTCTCGAATCCCTGCACCGAGGCGCATTCAGCGAAAAGTCTGAGTTTTCCAAAGCAGAGGACCCAGCAGCGCCAGCGGCCACTTCACAAGTGAATGCGTTCCTCGGACACTAGCCTCTAGAGCCCTGTTGTGTGTGTGTGTCTGTGTTTGAAGTGAGCACAGCATTTAAATTTTGTTAAATGATCTACCCCAGAATCTACCCCCAAAAGGAGCGACACACGAAGTAGCCTAAGCGAGCCGTCTGAAGCTCAGCAGCATTCCGCATCACATGTCAAATGTGTCTATTCGGGAGCCCTGCAAACAACTTGTGGTGCAGCTTGCATGCATTCCGTGGCCATGAATATCGGTGATCCTAGTCAGCAAAATAGACGGTTCAACCAAGAAAACTAGACCACGATCCCAGGGCTTACGCCATCAGTGGGGGTTGAGAAAGAAACATATACAGGCAAATATCCTGGAAGTTTTCTGTAGGATGTGCCAAACAGAAGACGTGTCATGTAGACCCTGAACAGTCAAGACCGCGAGACTGCGAAAATAGTCGGACCCTGTGCTTTGCCCCTCGCACTCTTTTAAACTCTAGGCCCTATTCTCTGTCCGAAGGCTCTTGTGTTTGTCCTGCTGAGGCTTGGTTTTTCAAGGTTTTGACTTCAGGTTCCAGGGCCTTGAGTGTTATGTGTTTTGGTTCCGGGTTTGCAGGGCTTGCCAAAGCTTCAGGATTTGTGGTGGTTGTTGAGTTGATTTGTGGTCCAGGTTGTCCTGTCTTGCTGGATCTCAAGCAGCACTACCTTTTGAAATTCTAGTAATTGCAGACTTGCTTTGATTGAAATTGGGTTTGTGGCCACTGCCAGCGTCGCCTCCTGTTTTCGATGAGCACGTTCCTACCAGATACCCAAGCAGGGGTTCCAGACTTACGGCAGGGTCCAGGGTATGAAGCTTTCGGGCGTAGAGGCCGTGTGGCATTGAAGGTGTAGTCCTAAGCCGGAATCCCGAAGCCCGATAGACTCGATAAACCAAGGGCTCGAATCTTCGAGTCACCCTTGCAATCCGAAGCAGCAGGTCCTTGTGAGCCTAGACCCTAAAACCCGTAAGGTTTTGGGAGTCTTGAAGCATGAAACCCTAAGCTAAGCCTTAGCCCTAGCTCCCTTAACCCTTAACCCCCGCAGCCTGAAACCTTAAATTTCTTCAACCCTCAACCCTATGCCTAGGACCCCATCCTCCAAGACAAGGCCGTAGTACTCGTAGCAACAACTGCAGTGTCATAGTTGACATAAGTATCGAAGTAAGCCCCGAATGCTAAAGTTCACAGCACCGAAGATGCAAACCTTGCACTTGGCTTTCGAAGGTTCTTTCGGACGGTACCTGGGTCCGGTGATCCCGACAGCATGCAGACTGATAAGTCTGCAGACCAGATTTCCGTTTCTGTTGGGCCAAGGCGCGGCACCAGGGACATCTGCGGAATTTAGCCGCTGTGAATTGGGTTTCAATGTTGGGTATAATCAAGATGCGGAACTTCGTACTCTTAATCGCAAAAGGGTAAATGTCCCGCTGGGTAGATGTACCCGTCGGACAGCAGGAAACCATCCGTAAGGCTCCCCGCCAAGGCAAAACATGCTTTAATTCGGGACCATGCGACTCGCATCTCGTATGCGTTTATCGCAAAGACCTGTTTTTTGCAGTGCCCGCGCAGCAAAGCTGCCTCCCATTTTAAGCTCGAGCTGAAAAGATAGATGGTGGCTTTCCTCGAAGAGGTCAGCCAAGGACGTCTCTCAAGCCCGACATCTTCGCAACCCCAGCCTCTTTGAAAGTAGCTCTTAAAAAGATCAAGATCCAGACCCTCAAGTGTGGGCAGGGGCCTGATGCCAAATTTTGGGCTTGTGAGTTACCTCGACAACACTAGTTTTTCGATTCTTGACCCTGCGGGGGCTCTCTGGTGCTTGTCTGGTACATTTGGAGTGATCAGCAGGCCCGAGAGTGGGGGCTAACAATCGGCCCAGACAATACAAGGACACCAGAAACAAGCTGCAGGTTCGGGGTGTGGGGATCTTTCTGTCAACCACCTACGCAAGTCCTGGACCCTGAAGCCTAAACCATACATCTGTATTACTTCGGAGCTGGAGTGCTATCACGGTGATAGCACGGTGCTGGATTTGGGGGCTCGGTCTGGGCCACAGATCGAGCCTCGCCCAAACTTATGTATTTCGGCATCAACAGCATCAACATACCATAAGTTGAACTCCTTGCGGAGTGTGCACAAGTGAGTGAGACGGGTAGGTGAGTCATTCCGCCATTATGTCAGCTATGTCCCCAAAAACACGCGCTGAGCATCTAAGAAGCATCCACACCTCGAATCCCGAAACCCCAACAGCTGAACCCTAAACCCGCAAACCCGAGAGCCGTTTGCAAATGCTTTTCATGCCCAAGAGTTGGGGATCACTCGCAGCAGGGTCGAATTGCCATCGGGTCAACTTGGCGGAATGTGGCATGAGCTTTAGCCCCTGGGCTGTCAAGTTTAGGGTGTTAAACGTTTGACGTGGGGTTGCTGCCATGCGCTTTCGTCGGGGCGCGCTCCTGCTGTCGTGAGCTCAGGTGTCGTGAGGAAACCGCAAGGGGATATTGCACTCTACAGCGTTGGCACGGCGTGGGTGTGGTGCCGCATCGTCTCATGTCGGGAAGTTTTGTAGAGCCTGAGAAAAGTTGAAGCACAAGTCCCCCCCGGCCATGTGCATGACCCGGATGTTGGAATATTTCGGATTGCCTCCTCCCCGAGAGCCCTGCTAGACGGCTGACACCAAAAAGGAGCGCAAACCCTAAACCCTACCTATAGTCTCCATTGTAGTTCCTTTTTTGGGGGATACCTTATAAAATCCTTAATATATAATTGGTTAGAAAAAAAAGGAACTACAATGGAGACTATAGGTAAACCCGGACAGATGATCCGACACGTGCCTGCCCTGAGCAGCTCCTTCAGGGCGTTCCTGGCCGCACCCTTGTTCTTCGCATTTGCTGGGCCATGGAAAGCAAGGACCCGCCTTAATTACAGAGGGTGTAATATAGGGCTCTGGAAGACGACCTATACTACATTGGGGGGCTCCTTAGTCTAGGTATAGCTTGGACGATGCTGGCTTCCCGGAAGATGGTGTCCGCTCCACCTGTGCTAGGCGACCTGCCGATGTTTGGGTCCCTAGCTGGGGCATGCACGGGCCGGCGGCCTTTGACCTGGCAGTGACGGTAGGGCTTCGTCCAGGCCGCCATGCGGCTGTTGCTGTGGCTGCGGACCGCCCAGCCGCGGA